CTTTTTTTAACCAGAACTAAAGTTTATCTTTAAAGGTTTTGGGATAAACCACATAAATCTGTGGGTGTAATTCTGCCTTGGCCCACCAACTCCACTCATCCTATCCATAATTCAACCAGACTGAGAATGCTAGAAACAGGATATTTTGGGCTACTTTGCAGGCAACAAGCTCGACTGATATCGACAAAACAAGAAGTGCAAGTTTGAGTCATTCTAAAGTGATACCAGACAACCTAAGATATTGAAACCTTCCAAGAAAGATAGCATCAGTAAAATGTACGCAAGTTTAGATCATTCACAGCAATCAAACTTGACAAATTATAAGGATGTAGTTATTTAAATAAAACATATATAAGGACTATTCTTAGCCATGACATTTCACTACATTTCTTGGTATGGGCAGGGGTGTTCCTGGTCTGGGATGACTGGCTTAGATTGTCACTTTCATTTCCAAAAAGTATTTCTTTTCTTTGTATTTTTGTTATGTCATGTTCTAGCAGAGGTACAGAACTGTAATTTATGAAGGTCCATTACAAGATACCAGTCATAGACTTTTTGTTTCTTTCTAAAAGATTATTTTGACATTATTTATGAGAAACAAGACAACCTCCTGCATTATAAGAAGATCTCTATCTTAAAATCACTATCTACAGTAATAAATCTCTGTATAATGCCAGCTAGCGAAATTGTATCAACCTGGAAAAGTTGGTTTCATAAACAATTGTGAGAGAGTATTGGAATGCTGTTTCTTGTAAAGTCAAGTTGAATATCAATCAAATACATCAGGTATTTTTTTCTGTTCTCTTTCTTTTTTGTGGAAACACACATGCACCTGTTTAATTTGGCATATAATCAATTGGTCTTTCATTTTTGTATGTTCCATCTAACTCCTGCTCTTTTGTTTATAATGCAGATGCTTTTAGGTGATTTCCTTCTTTTTCTTTTTTTTTCACAGGTGCTGCTTGAGCATTTGATTTGAGTGGATTCAGCACATTACAAATTTTACATATTATTATTATTATTATTATCATTATTAATTTATTATCAAAGAAAAATTAAAAATTAAATGAACTATGATCTCTCCTTTTTTCTGACAAAGCATACACATACAAGGCTTACAACTTAAAAGCATTATCAAAAAATGATTATAGACAAAAATCCTTAAACTACATGTATTTCAATTTACATGAAGGCCTATGCTGAAAAACCCAACAAATACTGCATATCATTTAATACTTCAGAATCAAGGATATAAGAGTGACAGGTACATCTACATGTATTAGAGTAGTCATGTTTTCATCACTAGATTACATTTATCAACGTTCATCTTTGCCACTGATGAAAAATCTCCTATAGCAATCAGTAAATCATTCCTGTTTAAATCCGCACCAACCCTGCCTGGAAGCATTTACCTCTTTCTCTCTCACTCACTTCATCAAAAATCTTTCTTATCCTTCCTTTCAAGCTGAAAGCACATGCCTGGATGTATTTCCTAACTGTGTTATCCAATTGCTACACATAAGTGATCTATTGCTGAGTCAGGTAAGAGAGTGTTAAAACTCATCAAGCAGGCCATGAGCAGGCAGAATCTAAGATCTATACATCAAGAATATAAACCAGAATCCTAAAATAGATGCATGATGAAGAACAGCTCCATTGATAAGATACAGTGGTAGACTTCAAATATATAAGCCTATATAGTATATAAACATATTAGGAACAAAATACTATCACATTATCTAAACAAAACGACTTTAAAATAATTAAAAGTTGAAGTTGAATTTAAAAAAAATTATCATGCAAACTGTAAGAATAAAATAGCAAGCACGTCTTTGAAAGGTATTATATTTCATTTTGAGTAGGCCTTTTCAGAATTTATTATTCTAAATAATGAAATACCACTATTAGCAAATGCATAAAGTCATTTTATTTGCCTTTTTTCTCTATTATTCCATTATAAACAATACTGAAACTATAAGTACCTCCTTAGTGAAAGTTTGTTAAAATTCCTAAATTGTATTTTTCAAAAGGGAGCCACAATATGAAAGATTTTGGTTGGATTCCTCCATATTCTTTGTATCCTATACCACCTGTTGTGCTTCTGATGAATATGTTTTGGCAACCGATCTGACAAAAGGAAGACTAAACGAGAAAAACAAGGTGGTCCCATATAAGGAGACATATTCATGCCAAATTCAAAATACTAAACATGTCAATAATCTTTGTTTGATTAGATTTAGACAGATTTGTTCCTGCTTATAAGGCCAAAGGATAGATCTACCATTGAACAAATTAATCATTTTTGAAATATTATTAGGAAAGTAATAGTCATTTTGAGATTTGTATGTATACATGTAAGCCTAAATTAATTTAGCCTATTTTATGGAAAATTAAAATATTACAAAAACTGGGGACTGATGGCTACAACATGTATCATATGTGTATTTTCCTTCATATACGCTAGGTGTTCCACACATTTATCCTAAGTTGCAGGGAAAAAAATACTGCATGATTTCTCAGAACAAGATCACTGTCCAGACTGCAAGAAAGTAGTAAAAGTGAGTTGCCAAATGTGGGCAGATACACACATGATGGATGCAAGATTGTAGAAGAAGAAGATGGATGTTTGAGAGGATGGGTGTTAGAGAGAGGCAATGACCTAGATGTCATATGGTGTTGATCAGAGTGTTGAAACAAACACTAGAAGATTCCTGGCAAGCAATGATGATTGAAACACACATGGTGACAGAGAGAGAGCAAAGGAGAGAGAGAGAGAGAGAGAGAGAGAGCAAAGGAGAGAGAGAAGAGAGAGAGAGAGAGAGAGAGAGAGAGAGAGAGAGAGAAGATTAACATCATCAAAGGAGTTATTTTCTAAAGAGAGGGCTCAAGCAAGCCAGTGTGTAAGATCTTTGTGTAATCCATTGAGCCAATGTATAAAGCCTGAGAGGGGATTAGTAAAGCAAACCTGTTGATGGAGTAGAAATATAAAACAAAAACAGAACAAAATCATTTTGGGATGTAGTCCATGATGTTTACAATACAATAGCATGGACCTACATTGGCTATATTATATTATCTAAACTTGATAAAGTGAACTTTGTTTTAATTAATATATGAAACTATTTGAAAGAAGACATCTCTGGTTGTGATGATCATATTGAACCCTTGGTAGAAAGCTAATATTACAGTGAGAATAACATTTCAGCAGACTTTTGTGGAATTATTACATCACCACTGATCTCAGGGATTCAAATATCTCAAAGTCATATAGAGAACAGATGAGTGAGTATCTTGTATTCAAAATAGGCTATTTAGGAAAGTAAAGTGACAACAAAGAGCAAATAATTATGAAAGTCAACATTAGAAATTTTAACTGCATTAGCTATGTAGCCCTTCTTTTAAAATAAAATTGACCATATAGCAAGATAGTGAATTATTTTCTGTATTCTATTGATGACAAAAAACTCCTGCTTATATGGCATGTCTTGGCTCTCCTAGAATGTTGCCATATTCTTCTTTACAACAGCAAATCTACCACTGACTTTGAAGCTGGTAATTTAAATATAAAATAGATTTGAATATGCATGTGAATGGATGTATGCGTGTGTGTGTGTGGGGGGGGGGGGTCACCATGCAGCATAATTATAGTAAATTTGTCTGTGGGTGGGGTCATTATGAAGCAACTAGTGAAGATTTGTTTATAGAGGGGGTCACTACAAGTGAAGCATCTATAGAAGATTTGTTTGTGGGTGGGGCAATCACTGGATAACAGCCAACCTAATTTGTCTGACCTTGTGTGGTTGAGGGGAATAATTCTTCAGATAGTACATGATACCCAAACTCATGTGCTTCCAATTTTGAAAAACACCAGTGGCACAGCACAGCACAAACATCCTCACTTGGGCCAACCCCATTTGGAAATAGATAAGAGAAGAGTTATCTCAAATATTGGGACTTCATCTGGACCATAAATATGCCCCCCCCCCCTCCAACTCCTATAACCACATGATAAATCATCTGTAACTAAAACATTTACAAGAAAGGTCCTCTACAGCAGTTGCTAATATTGTGTAGTGTAGAATCATTGGTGTTTATTCATAAAGGGCCTATACTTCATTAACAAGAAAACATCTTCCACTATAAACATGAATGCCAACAAACTATAAACTAAAAATGAAATGATAGAGAAGCATCAGACTATAATCAGATATACAGAAAATCATAGGGTCCTGTGTAGCCTATATAATTTACGATACAATGTATTTCTGAGATTTCAAAACCTAAAATACAGAACCTTTGAAGCATTTCACAATCATTCACAAAATAACTTTGGTTATAATTACAGGCAGTAGTATACCATCACAATTGTAATCACTGTCATGGTATTGACTGATTGATGTAGAAAAAACATGCATTTTGATCATCATGTGGACTTATTAAAGTTGCTGAATCTTCCACTACTTCAACAACAAATGTTTTAGACATAATTTGTTGCACTTTCAATAACAGAATATTAGTAACAGACGCTCAATTACAATGTTTGTCCTATTTAAATCAAGAAAATGAAGCGGTAGACGTTCAGGCGGTGCATTTCTCTGACAACAAGATGGTTAAAAGATGTTTCAAAATGATAAGGATCCAAGCCGCGTCCTCAAAGTGAGAGATATCGGCCACCTGTTAGCCGCCCTAACCAGCCCAACCATTATACGACAGAGTCTGCTCACTTTGAAGATCTTCTTTGGAATCTAGATAATAAAGCAGACGACAAAGCTGCTGCGCGACTTCTAATAGTTTAGTCTGCCAAAACACTCCAAAACTTATTCATTATGCCAATAAGAATAAACGTATCACTTCATAACAGACATACACACCTTGGAAAGTACTTTTAACAACCTCATTCTCTCTCTTTTCTCAAAGTTCGTTCAATTTTGCTGACCTAGCCATCCTGATGGACGACCGTCAAGATCCCAATTTTAACGCACTTCCTAGCCGCTACTTACCCGTCGCTGAGTACACGATCGACAGGATCAAAACGGTGCACGTGAAAACGACAATCCACTTTGAAATCATTTTTCCAGCATCTGAACTAGCACCTAAAGTGTATTATTCCAATGAAATCCGTGGCATGGATTGTAAATTACGGAATAGTTATCCAATAACGACTTCAAAAATTGAAATCATGGGGTTATATCCATTGAAATGCAGGTAAGTTTAGTCTTCGCACGTAATCATTATGCTATCTGAATACAAGAGTAATACTCATTCTCTATGGCCAATCGACGCGCACGTATAGAGTGAACGTAAGTATATTCCGTGCGGATGGACTGACTTACCAATGTATCATCAGAGCACGAGAGCGCGAGCGGAAACAGTTCATCAACCAAGAAAAAGTATTTACTTGCTCTTCCATGTAGCATGTATACACCCACTGTCGATTAGCAATATTATATCATTTCTAGACCATTTGAAATGCAAGAATTATTATTTTACTGCATAACATTTTCAGATATATTTGAAAATTATTATATTGGTTCATAAGTTACGTTTTTTTTTGTAATTGGTCGAGAAAGATCTTACAATTTAGTTCCAAACTTTTTGAAAGAGGAGTCCAAAAAGTACTTGTAGCGTCAAATGTGGGCGGGGCATATATTAAGTCAATCATCTCAAAGTTTTCTTGAGCTGAGGAGCGTGCGGTTCTCGTGCCGTGCGCGTTCCCAGCAGCGGGTGGCAAAATAACAGGATTTCGCGAATAATGACTGACTCATAAACATTCTGAGATATATCAAAGAAGAAATGACAGTCCATAGTTCTTTCAACACATTACACATTACTACTACTAATGTTGCTTTGGGTCCGTTTTCCTTGGTAAAACTTTGTTCTTATCAAAGTTTATTCCTTGTTAAACTGTGGAGCAATATCTAAAAATATATCTATGTAGACATATCGATTATAGTCTATTATGATGATAATGTTTATAATGAAACAACGAATCCATCATCAGTACGGATTCGTCGGTTCATGATAATTATGTACGACGAACTTGAACTCAATCACCATTATCATCATCGCCATTATCATCGACATCATCCTAATCATCATCATCATCATCACCTTCACCTGTTCCCCTACCCCTCCCTTCATACTTTTTCAAGTGTATAATGCACTGTGGAAATTGAGCGAAGCATTTCATTATGCTTATATTCATTCAGGCACTCATCCATGGGTGTATTACATTACAAACTTCAACTACAAACCTTATCAACATTAAAAAGAAGAAACTTCGAATGGGCAAGTCGTTTGGTCATTATATTCTGCACCAAAAGACAAGAGTCGATCCGCTATACGTCACAGCTTTGAACCGCTAGAAACGATTCTTAGAAATTTACATTTAATCACATTTTAACGAGCTAGTTAAGTCGATAAGAGATAAAGGATTATTAATCGAAGGAGGTGTTTAGGTTATAAAGGAATAAGCTGCTCATGACATCCATCCTGAAAACCATTTTCTTGGATGAAAGGAACTATTGGATCAACTTCTTCTAAAGAAAGGCGCTTTAGCAAAAAGGTGTTAATGTGTACATCAAAGAAAGAAAAGCTCGATTGACAAACCGTTTTTGTGTTAAAAAAGCGTTCCAGTAAGTACGATATTAGGAACGAATAAAAAGCTGATTTGTGTTTAAGCTTCCAAGGGTAAACAATTAATGAACCTAATTCGTCGTTTCCTGTTCTATTTTGAGGGACCATAAATAAGTACAATATAAATACACCTTGCAGGAGCATTCTGAGCATGCAAGCGAATGACGGTGGTGTATAGCTCCGCGGTTATACATGAAGAAGAAAAAAAACTGTGTGTGGTCTTGTTTATTGTTTTTATCATAATCATTTTATAATGATAAAAACGAAATATACTTAATTACTACTAATAATAATAATAACAACAACAGCAACAACAGTAATGATGATGATGATGATAATAATGATGATATAACAACGACAACCATATTACTACTACTACTAATAATAATGATGATGATTATGATGATAATAATGATAATATAAAACAACGACAACAATAATAATAATAATAATAACAGTAATAATAATAATAATGATAACACATCGACTGCTTCTTATAAAGCCCTTTACCAAAACGCACAAGGGCGCTTACGGTATTACCCCGGTCACTGGATTCGATTACTATTCCACACATTACAGTGCACATTCTCCACTCCTTTGGGAGCATTCCATCTAGTCGCCTTTTTTTTTTATTTACGGGCGCGCACAATATATCAATCTGTTTACATTCCCCTTCGCATCTATAACGGGTACCCACTCATCACCTGGGTGGAGATGAGCAATGTAGATAAAATGCCTTGCTCAAGGACACATTATTAAAGTGCCGTGCCGGGGCTCGAACCCATGCACTGCCTCTGCATTCTCATTCAAGTGTTTAACCACTCGACTACGAGATGCAACATAATATGCGACCCAACTATTTTCTTTTTTTTATAAGTTTGCACATTAATTTATTAACTTATTAGCTTTTTATACATAGTTCATTCTAATATAAAATATTTGACTATTATGTACCTTACTTCCTCTTCAAATCTTAGCTAGTGATGACGGAATATATTTGTTTGATACAAGGGTTGTAGAAAAAAATATAATATATTTGCAAAATATTTACAATAATTATACTTAGGGTGCATGTATATAAAATATTTAGGGGGATATAATATTGTAAAACAAATTTTAATACAGAGCAAATTGGAGATCATTTCGCAAGATATACGTCTCAGAGTTCCCAAATTGTGTTCGATTATTCACAACTTCAAAAGTTCATAACTCTCTTATTTGTTATCAGATTGTACTCGAACGTTTACTGACCTGTTCTTCTGGTGTTTTTTTTTTTTATATATTAAAACAAGTCTTATATCAGGGTGGACTTCCCATCCTGAATACTAAATACTGCTAAATGTTATTGGGTAGGCCTATATCATAAATAATTTCCAGATTTTAAATTCCTCTAGGGGCATTGGCGAATCACATGCACCCCCCCCCCCGGGCCCGCAACAATCAGGCATACATACACAACAAAAATAAAGAATGTAATCGAATTTGTATTATGTGCCCCCCCCCCCCCTCCAGCATTATGATAAGCTTTTCGCGTGACAGAAAATGTAAGACAAAAATGCTCCAGAGAAACAACCCCACCTGCGACAAAGAATCCTGTCGGGGCTAGTCCACTGTTGCGACATGGAGGGGGGGGGGGGCGTGGGGTGGGGGGCTACCCTCCTACCTAATATCATTTGCAAATCTGGAATGTTCCTGAGTTCAATTTTATCTGCCCTCCCTTTAGTCATGTGCAGAGAATCCCCTCTTCTCTATATCCTTTCCCCTTTTATTTGGAGGGTCCGCCAATAGGGGTGTGGCGGAGATTAGGACCCTAATTCCGTTTGTGCGATTTTAACATTGGACCATGGGCAAGTTGACGTCACGTTTTAGTTTAAACCGCCCAGAGCAGAAAGTGGAAAGAACGGATCTCAGCAATAAAGGCATCATCATGATATTACGTAACATTGTTGTGTTTATCATAATTGAAGGGAACAGCAAACAAACCAATCATAAGCGTATCGAACACGTTTGCAAAGATTACTATATATTGCGGTCTTCTGCTCTTGTCTAACAGAATAGTTCGGATAATACTTAAAATTTATGATAATATGTTATGGAAATAATAAGTTTCGTTATTATATGTACATATATTATGTAAAAAACATTTTGACATGAAGAAATTATTGTTTGTTTATGTTGTATTATACCTTACATTTATATGTTCTTTGTTATTCAGTTGTATTTTATTTAGAAAAAATGCAGAAATAAAATCAAATAAAAAAAATATGAAAATGACATAAGGCCTAAAAAAATAAGATGTTGTATTGCACTTTAGGTGCCAAAACATGGGTCGGTTGGTCGGATTTAAAAAAAAAATTACTCACTGCATGGGCTGTGTTTGTCAGTTTTTTAATGCTTTAATATATATTTTTTTTCTTCTAAAAAACGGTAAAAAAAAAAAAAAAAAAAACTTTTTTTAAAGCCGACCGTAGATTTCAAGATTTCGGGGTCGGTCGCAAAGGGCAATACAACATCTTTTTTTTTAAAGGCCTAACGACGTAATGCGATGGGATAATGAAACTGCACTTCAGTTGATTTCTTGAAAGTCTGTGCGATTGTGTTTGCTTGTTTCATTTTGTTACTGGGGCAGTTGTCCCCGCCACTCATATTCTCCTTTTGAATGAAGTAGTGATAAGACCTTTGCGTTATTGTTCCATGATAATACATTTTAAATAAAAACTGTTACTGTGAATATCTCGTTTGAATGTCTGCCCCGTGCAACAGCCCAGGGTTGTCGGACTACTCGCGTGTCGCTTTATCCCCGCCGCGCGCGCTCGACAGGAAGGAAATCATGACGTCACAACCCCCGTTTGTGCCTCACATTAGTTTACTTTTACAAAGCAAATATACACACATTTCTTCTTTGAATATCAATCAAAGTACAAACTTCCGGAAATAAATCACTCTTTCACGAAAATGTCATAATAATGTTGTCGGAAAGAGAAGTTTGGTGGCTGCTTTTCAAGTGGAGGACAACTTTAAAGAGGTTTACGGAGGGAATATGTCGTAAGGAATATCAGAGGAGCTGAGAAAGAGACTAACGATACTTTGGTAACGGGACGCGCCGCCAAATAAAAAATAAAATAACCCACATCTCTCGTGAAAGTCTATACCAACAACAAAAAGTGGAAAGGGGGAAAAAGTTTGATTTTGATATGCACAGATGGTTGGTGGAGATAAGATCGCCGTCGCGATTCATAAATAGGATGCTATTGCGGTTGGGAAGTCAATCGGGACCAGTATTTAGAGCGAAAAAGAGTTCAGAGACTGGATTCGGGTGCATGGTGTTTGGTAGAAGGTTTGGTAGACACCATAACTTTTGTTTGTCGGGGTGGGTTTGTTACCCCAGAGAGGGGAGCATGGGGTTGAATTAGCATTGACCCTAATCCTCCAATTTTTAGAGGTCCTTTTTATGATTGCTTTTTCTTCCTCACTCGACAATTCCTCTACATTATCCCCCCCCCCCCCCTCTCTCTCTCTCTCTCTCTCTCTCTCTCTCTCTCGATCGAGCTATCTCTCTCTTCAGTTTCATCGTTTCACTACCCACTCTTTAGATACATGTCAACAGAAAGGGGGCAATCGAAAAGTCATGGGGCCTTCATTTGGGTCTTTCTGAAGGAAACGTGCCAGCGGAAAACAACGATGTTTGCCGTTTTCAATGGTCG